TGAGTCCCAGAGTCCTGAAGCGTGCATCTACTTTCTAGACAAACTGGACTACCATCTTGACCTCAGTGGAGACAGTCTGGATCCTTACCCTTGCTGTGCTGTGGCCTATGTGGTCACTCAGTCAAAGGAAAGGAAAATAAGGCTGAACCTCGAGGACGTGATCATATCAGAACAAGGAATGAGACAGCTATTCGGATGCCTTGAAAATGTTGAGTGGTATGAATTTGGTTGTTTTTCTTTTTTTTGGTTTCAACACACAGTGAGAACTTTAATGCTGGTCAGTTTCATAACAATCTCTTCTTTCAATTATAGGTATAACCTTCTGCCTCAGCAGCTTTGGAAAGCTTTCCTTCTCAGCGAAGAGCAGATGGACTTCGTAACCTTACTCAGTCTTGATGGAAATCATTTACACCTTCCAACTCAAGGTGAAAAGCAGCTGTTTGAAAGAGCTGTGGAAGTCATGCAGTGGATGTCTACAAAGGTTAATGTCTGCCTCTACTGGGACAGAGAAACTCCTGCCTGCCAGAGTCTGTGTGAGTCTCTGTTAGAGGCTTTGCCATTCATCAGCTCACTCAGGTATGTAGCTTTGGCTCTTGCATATTAAATAGTCTGCTTAGTTTTATCCAGTCTTTTGATGGTAAAGTTAAAATACCTCTGTTTGTGACTTTTTTTTTTAACAACAATATATCAGAATTTAACATTTTAGCAGAATAGTTGAACAACTCATTTAAAGTTGAGTCCTTCTAGTGCTCAGTCTAAGGAGCCCATCCATCTATCCAACCACTCATTCATCCTTCCATCCATTCTCCATTCCCGTAAGGAGTCTAATTAAGTTAATAATTCCATGATACAGAATCCGACAGGCCCCAGGCTGGTGTTTATCTTGTTGAATTTAAAATTCTGATGTCTTTTTTTTTTATTCTTCTCCTTTGGAATCACAGACATTGTTCACAACAAGTCTATATGTGTAGCACTAGCACGTAATGTATCAAGATTTGTGCTGAATACATTCAGGTTTTACAGAAATGTGTCTAATCAGTTCTGAAATTCTGTTATTCAGCTTCAGATGTCCAGTTTTTTGGAGCCAGGAGAAATACCATGGGACACTGGAGAAGGAGCAGGAGAATCTGTTCATGGATTTGTGCCTGAAAGCAGCACTTAATAATGGAGCAAAATTTTACAACGTTGCGAAGAAGCTTCTTTCATTGTTTCTTGTTAAAACTGAGTTAGAAAACATCCTTCTTGATTTATATCAACATATTAAAAGCAGAGGATTTTCAGTTAACTTTGAAACACTGAGGCCGTGTTTTCAGTCAGCTCCTGCAGTCTGGTCCATAAACCTCTCAGAGAGAAAGACCTCCATCCTCCTGGAAGTGCTGAAACTCCAACCAGAGAAGAAACAAGT